CCCCCCCTCCCCCCAGAGGCTTGTGGGTGGGACTGCTGCAGTGGCTCCGTTCACCCCTTAACTGTTATCTGCCCTTCATTTTTATCTGCCTCTTAGACAATGACAGGGGGGTGGATGGTTAAACAGTCTGCTTGCTGGGGACGCAAGTGGTCAATGTGTCTGCATGTGTGGCTTTGTGTGTCTGTGTGTCATTGGTGGGTATGTATGAGTGAGTGAATAGTATGTGTGGCTGGGCCTGGGTCCCTGTGGGACATGGTCACAGAGGGAGGGGCTCACCCGATGATGAAATAAACAGATCAACCCTGAACAAGAGGATCCTATAGAGAATTTACAGAAAGTTCTTGGAAAAGCAAAATGTGTTTGGCACAACAGTGCAATCAGATCTTAATCGCAAAAGCTGCCAGACAGGACAGGGTTAATTAAATCATGTGTTATAATTCAAAAAAGCAGAGTTTTTGGTTTCTTTGTTTTTCCCCCTTTTCCCTTCCCTCCTTTCTCAAATATTCACAGGTGGAGTTGCCGGGCTGTCTCCACCTAAAGACAGACCTCAGTGTTGGTCATGTGCTGCAAACTGAATCATTAGACCACAAGCACAGGTTCTGTTGATATGGTGAGAGATGACTTGGGGTCCAAACGGTCAGTCCTCTTGAGGTAATTGAATGGTTTTACAGGTGGAGGCCACTGACCTTTCCCTCCTCCTTTGTGTATACTCATGCACTGTATATAATGTTCTGTCTCTCTCTTTGTCTTTGCACAGTCAAGGAGCGTATCAGGTCACATTTCACTGCGTGTTATACCTGTATAACTATGCACATGACAAATAAAGAATCTTAAATCTTGAATCATTTTTTCTGACTATTTTGTTTTCACTAGTTTTGCATTTGGCTATGAAAGCGGGATTGGGTTGTGGATCTTGTCAGTCCCTGATTAAGACAGGTTCTCTACCAATCAGAAGGACGATGGTTTGCTCCCTGGGTCCTCCAGTCTTGGAGGTGAAGCCCAAGTTTCCCCTGCATCAGTCTTTGTGAATGCTGAGGCCTAGAAAAGTACTTTATGAATGCAGCTTATAGTAAAAAAGCACTCTATTGGTACCAATCCATTTATTTGTTTTCTAAGCATTTTAATGTCTGTGCTACTGTTGTACATTAATCAATTTGTTTTTGTTTTTTGATTTGAGGATCTAAATGAGGTTTTGGAGTTCATAAACAAGATGATTACAATTTCAGGAAGTAGTTATGACACAATCTGCTTCCGGGGTGTGCGAAGCTATGAAAGCATTTTATAAGGGGTGAAATATAATATTATATTCATATAATGCACATCATAGGAAGCTTAGTTGGCAGAAGTTAGCCGGCTTTTCAGCCATATTGTGACATTGGATTCTTTATATGTAAACTCAAAATCACCCGATGTTTATACAGACTGGATGTTTCTGCAGGGAGAATATGATCTTATAGTTTCACAGAAAACCACTAATCTTTTGCTTCATTCTAAATCCAAATTTTATGAGTAGGGAGACAAATCTAGCAAACTGCTTGCCCATCAGTTACATCAAGTCTCTGCCTCCCAGCTAATTCCACAGGTGGAAACTGGATCTATGTCACATCTTGCTGAGATTAATAAAATCTTTCTAGATTTTTTTTAATATAAAGCTTTTTCTTTTGATCATACTCAGACTTCAGTTGAATTTGAGTCATTTTGCGGTGAGACTGTGCTCCCTGTTATAGATTTTCTTATCTAGAATCTTGTCCATCATACATGCCTTTACAAAGCAGTAAGAGTCCGGGCCCAGATGGCTTCTAGCTGATTGTTTTCTAATTAAGGTCTTTTTATTGAAAGATGTTTTACACAATCAATTCAATTCAATTCAATTCAATTCAATTCAATTCAATTTTATTTATATAGCGCCAAATCACAACAAATGTCGCCTCAATGCGCT